AAACTTGAAAATAAAAAAAAGTAAGTTTAATAAGTAAAAAAAAATTTTATTTATTATTTATTTTTATTTTGTGTGTGTGAGTGCATTGCCTACATGTGTGTAAATGTACCCCTGTCATGTAATGCCCATGGAGTCAGAAGAGGGTGTTGGATCCCCTGGAACTGGAGTTACAGATGGTTGTTAGCTGCCATGTGGGTGCTGGGAATAGAACCTGGGTCTTCTGCAAGGGCAGTCAATGCTCTTAACCACTGAACCATCTCTCCAGCCCTACACCTGACTTTTTTTAACATGGGCTCTAGAGGTTGAACTCAGGTCCTGTGTTTGTAAGGCAACACTTACCAACTGAGCTTTGGTCCTAGACCCTGCCACCTGCTTTCAATTACTCATAGGAAAGCAAGGATTGGAGCTAGTGTAGTGGGTGGTGTCTGCTCTGTGCTGTGTTGACTGCTTTCAACCTGCCTGTTTCTTTACCAACACTCATGGACTCAGCTTTCAAATCTTAGCAAGCAAAGCAATGGATGTGCAGACTGCACTTTGCTCCGTCTCTTCTTTCTGTGGATAGACACTGCTCTTGGCTCTATCTCTAAGGGGCAAACTTGCCTTTGGGTGTGTTCTCAGCACATAAGCACTGAACTGGAAGAAGACAGCCACAAAGGTAACCCGGACCACCTGATTGCTGGACAGACAGTATATTCACAAGTCAATGTGCTCAAGAAATCTTTTTGATACCAGAAGATTTACAAAGATATATATCATGGGGCAATCTTAAAATGCAAATAAATAAATATATTTAAATAAATTTAAAAATAATTTTTATTTTAGTGTATGAGTGTATTGCCTGCATGTGTGTAAGTGCACCATCATGCAATGCCCGTAGAGGTCAGCAGGTGTTGGATTCCCTCAGAACTGGAGTCATGGACAGTTGTTAGGCACCATGTGGGTGTTGGGAATGGAACCTGAGTCCTCTGCAAGAGCAGCTAGTGCTCTTAACTGCCGAGCCATCTCTCTAGCCTCAAATAAATAAAAACTTTTGAGATAGTGTATGTAGTCCAGACATGCCTGGAACTTACTATATGGCTCAGGCTGGTCTTGAACTGGAGGTTCTCCAGCCTCAGTCTCTTTACTGTTGAGATTATAGACATGAGCCACCATGTCAAACTCAAAGTATAATTTTTAAAATTTTATTTTCAGGATGGGGAGATGGTGCAGTCAGTAGAGTGCTTGATGCCCGAACATAAGAACCTGAGTTCAGGTCTTCAGGACCCACAAAAAACTGGGTATAGCGGCACACATCTGTAATCCCAGTGCTGGCAAGGCAGAGACAAGAAGATCCCCGGGGTTTGCTGATCAGCGAATCAAGTCAAATCAGTGAGTTCCAGGTTCAATGAGACACCCTGTCTCAAAACATAAAGTGGAAGGTGATTGAAGAAGACACCTGACATTGACTTCTGGCCTCCACATACACGTACACACTCTGACACATAAAATAAAAATTTAATAATTTCATCAGGGTTGTTTTGGGGGAGAACTGAGTATCAAATTCAGGGCTTTGTACATGTACATCAATCAAGGTCCCTGTCACTGAGCTATATACTCCAGCCCTCCTAATGCAATTTTATTCAGTTTAATTAATTTTTATTTGTGTGTGGATGATGTATTTGTGTGCATGAGGGCATATGCACCCATATGCATGTAAGGACGTTGGTGTCCTCCTCTATTGCTCTCCATTAATCCCTTGAGAAAGGTGTCTCACTGAACCCCCAGAGTTCACTGTTTTGTGCTTATGATGGTGGTCAGAAAGTCCTAATGGTACTCCTCCCCACACTCCTTCCTCACCAGTGCTGGGGTTACAGGTGTACATAGCCATGTTTGTCATTTTTCATGGGTGCTGGGGATTCAAACTTAGATCCTCATGGTTGTGCAGCAAGTGCTCTTTCCCACTGAGCCATCTCTCCAGTCTCAAATGCAATTTTAAACAAGGAAATTATTAGTATCCTAAAGCTATTTTAGAGATTTAAAACTGTACTGACCCTGAGCACAATTTAAAGGGACATACCTTCAAGGCTCTGTCACTGGAGACAAAACATTAATTCTCCCAATTAATTTTGCTTAAGCATTAAACATTTATTCAATTATAAACTCTCCTCCCTGTTTTCTTATAGTCCACCATGGAGTGTAAGAAGAGAGGAACAGTTAACAGTCCTTGCGTCTTTGCTTTCTAATCTTGTGCTTGCTGGACCCCCCAACTCTCCCACCTCCTGCTTCCCCCTCTACCTCCTGTCTCTTCCCAGCACAGTATTGAATCCACTCCAGGTAAACATTGCAGTAGCTTGCTCTTGTGATCCCCTGGAGACACGGCACATAGTCATCATCAATGTTGATGTTGAACATTGCAAGGTCATGCTCGATGTGATGCCACTTGGCAAAAGGCTGCAGGGATGTCAGCAAGGATTCATTCTTGATCCAGGAGAGGAGTTTGGGGGATGAGACCAGGTAGTATATTATGCTCTGTGAAAAACAGGCAACACTGTGAACATCTTTAGTCATTCAAATGCCAGAAGATTTTATTTTTAATTTATTAGGTCTCAAAGAGAAATCAATCTCAAGTAACTATGAGATGTACAGAACTCATACAGGACATCATGTGTACTTCCACTGCGTTTCCAGCATAAAATCAGCCTGTTTGAGGCAGTCTAAAGTATCTTCGTGTGTGTGTGTGTGTGTGTGTGTGTGTGTGTGCATGTCTTTATGTGGCAGGCACATGCTGCACATGTGTGCATGTGCATATGGCGGCCAGAAGACGACCTTAGGTATTGTTTATCAGGTATCATTCACTTTTTTTTTTGAGACAGAGTTTCTCAGAGACCTGGAACTTGCCAAGTAGAGGTTAAAGCTGCTTCAAATACTCAGCCGCAGACCAGGGCTTTGCAAACACCTGGGGTGAAGTAAGAAGAGTTACTGACTGACCCTTCTGACTTTAATAGTCTGTCTTTCATCTCCAGCAAACTTTAGCAGCTACAGAAGACCCCGGGGTCCCCGTGGCAGCTATTCCAAACTTCTGAATGCTCTGCTTTACAAGTGGACAGGACTTCAGCAACCCTTCCTATCTCTTTATTCCTTATTATGTCTTCCAAATGACCTGTCCCATCCTTGCCTGGCAGAGATCTGTGGTCTCTGATAGAGGTCCTTTGACCCTCAGAGCAGCATTCAACTATGGAGCCCTTGGCTCACTATCCACAGCCTCCCCCAGCATGGAGCCCACTGCAAAGACTTCCTCTGCTCTCTCTCACCTCTGCCCCTTTTTGGTCCCTGCTCCTCAGAGCATACCTCAGCCCTGGCCAGCACTTTGCACCCTGGGCCAACACCCAGCATGTCACTTTGTGCAAAGATGTTGGTTAGGCATGTCCTCTGAGGAAACTAGAACTGAACCCCTAGAGAAGGATGCTGAGAAACGCTGAGCATGCTGGGAAAAGGGGTGGGGGCAGTCACCATTTTGGAAAGGAACAGGCAGATGGGGGGAGGAGAGGAGGAGGGCTTGTGCAGATTTCAAATATGGGAGCGAAAGACCCCACTGAGAGCTTATGTCTTTGTAAGTGACCCTCTAAACTTCATTGTCAAACCCAAATAAATATTCTCCAAAATGTAACTTAAGAGGAACATTGTGGTGGTTTACCGGACCTCGGGGCCCTGGGATCCCAGAGAGCTCACGTGTGGGTCTCACAGGGAAAATTTGGTGTGACAAAAGCTCTTCAGGAACTGCCGCTGCTGCCCACCTACTTCCCTAACAGCATGGAGAAGCAAGCCGGACCTTGATGTAGTAGCGGATGAGGATCCTGCGGAGGTCAAACACCTGCAGCATTGTGGCGGCGCTGTTGTCGATGATGCTGTAACCCTCCAGGATGTACTGAGAGCGAGTGATCTCCCAGGTAAGCCAGCGCAGGTGGAAGGCTGCGTTGCAGGACAGCAGGTGTGGCAGGTGGCCAGGTTTGCAGCAGCAGCAACCTCTGTCGTCTTCATCACCTTCCATGATGGCCTCCACCTCTCTCTGCTGGCAGTAGGTTCCTGGCCAAGGACAGAAGGGTATTAGATCAGCAGTCAGATGACAGCTCTCCTCTGCAACAAGGTGTTTTGTAAGATGCTAAGGAGAAAGCAGGAGCCAGAGAGAGAGCTGTGGTCTTAGTTCAGACAGCCATGATTCTTGTAACTGTTAATGCTTTTTGGGTGGGTGCCTATGTGCAGGTGTGTACTCATGTTCATGTGTATGGGTACACGTGTGTGCATGTATGTGGAGATCAGAGGTCAACCTTGGGTTGTGCCATTCCCCAGGAGCCATCCACCTTGATTTTTGAGACAGGGTCTCTCACTGGCCTGAAGCAGCTGGGCTGGCTCCGTCTCCCTAGCACTGGAATTACAGGTGCGCACCACTGTGTTGGACTTTGTATGTGGTACTGGGGATGGAACTCAGGCCCTTGTGCTTACATGACAAGCATTTTTTCCATCTGAACTATCTCCACAGTCCCCATGAACTCTTTTAGTTATTTATAATCATCTGACTCACAGCTGTTCTCCACCTTTTTTTGTTTTGGGAGATACACATGCTCCTAAGATACACACTCTCATGGTAGCCACAGGCCTGCTGGTGGAGACTTACGGAATCACCTTGGTCTTTGGTTAGGCAGCCTAGGGTTAGGGACACCTTCCCCGGAGCACCTTCTCAGACAAAGAACCAACTGGAAACCAGAAGAGAAGGGAAAGAGTCCTTAAATAAATCAAAGTAAGGAAATACTATATACTATGGGAGAAGAGCAAGCAGGCAACCGGGTGACGAAGAAAGAAGAAGCTGCCCTGCCTCGACTAGCTGCAGCTTGTACTGAGTCAGGCATGAAAACTGCATTCTTCACAGGATGACTGTAAACTCTGGGTGCAAGAATTGTGCTTTACCTTCCTCAGCTAATCCAGGAAGGAAGAATGAATTGTCTTCCATTTCTATTGACATCGACTGAGGTCAGTTAAAGGCTACTCTTAGGTGGACTTCATGAGAAGTGGGTGAGAGCAAAAGCGTGCACAGCTTTTGGAAACGGGTGCCCTGTCTTCTTCAACATGTTCATAGACTCAAAAGGAAGCAGGGATCATAGTCTCACAGTGTGAGGTTCCCTAGGTATGCTATTGAAGGCAGACTTGTGGTCTAAAATTATCTTAGCATGGTAGGGACGGGGGACAGAACCGAATACACTAAAAGTCAATGGGACTAGAACACTCTGCAAAGCCAAACATGCAGTTTAGAAATCTATAGAAACCCATTTAGCATAAACTTGGCTAATGTCACTGATTATATGAACCAAAAATAGGATTTTGAAGAACTGTTTGGAATCCAGAAGCAAAGGACAGCATGGCAGTTTGAATGAGGAATGCCCACCATTGGCCCACATAGTTTCCCAGGTGGTGGCAGTGTTTGAAGAGGTTATGGTGCCTTTAGGAAGTAGAACCTTGCTAAAGGGGGAGGGGGGGTTGTAGCCTCACTCCACTTCCAGTTCTTTTTCTGCTTCTGATGTGCAGGTGAGATGTGATTGCTCAGCTTCCTGAGCCTGATGCCTTACCTTCCCCGCAGTGATGAACACTCTGTCCCTCTGGAACTGTAAACCAAATGAACTCTTTCTTCCTTAAGTTGATCTTGGTCATGATATTTTATCATAGCAACAGAAAAGTAGCTCATGCAGGAAGCTTCACAGACCCCCACAAAAGTAGACACTGGAAGGTGGATTCTTTTTTTTTTTTTTTTGGTACTGATTTGAACAAGGTTATAAAGATGACTAATTATGTAGTATAAAAAACAGAGAGTTTAGGATTACTCAAGAATGTATTTCTTGGGGCTGGTGAGATGGCTCAGCAGGGAAAGTTGCTTGCCACTAATCCTAAATACCTGATCTGATACTTGGGACTCACATGGTAGGACAGAATCAGCTCCCCCAAATTGTTTTTAGACCTTCACATGTGCTCTGTGACACAAGTTCACATATATATACCTACCTACCTACACATACACACAATTTTAAAAATTACATTGTGTGTGCGCACGTGCATGTGTGCGTGCGTGCATGTGTGTGTGTGTGTTGAGAAATGGTCTCTCTGTGGCCCCAGCTGGCCTGAAACTTACTACATAGACTAGGCTGGCCTTGATCCCAAAGGTTTGCCTACTTCTGCTTCCTGCATTCTGACTCTAAAGGTGTGCGCTATCATACCTGACAAAAAAAGATCTTTCTAAATAATGTAGTTAATCAGAATAACTTGAAGGACTCACTGATTTCAAATGTTTAGAGAAAAGACTTTGGGGGAAGTGGTGTCTATCTTCTATGATATCTGCTGAGCTCCACATGGAATTGTGATGTTCCAGAAGCATCTCTGTGGTCCAGAGTGGAAAATCTTTTTTTTAAGTTTTTGTTATTTTTATGTATATAAGTGTATTGCCTGCATGCATACAAGTGCATCCATGTTGTGCAATGTTCTTGGAGGTCAGAAGAGGGCATTGGATCTCCTGGAACTGGAGCTATAGATGTTAGCTGCCATGTGGGTGCTGGGAACCAAATCCAGGTTCTCTGCAAGAGCAGTCAGTGCCCTTAACCTCTGAGCCATCTCCCCAGCCCCATAATTGAAAATCTTAAGACACAGTGTATGTCCTAAGAGGGACCATTTAGCAACAGGGGTTCTGTCAGGAGAGGGTCTTTCCTGTGGGGAAGCTAGGAAAGAACCAAGGGTGTTGTGGCAGGAGTTCCCTGAGGGCCACAGTGCAAACCACGTGAGCTACTCGAACCAGAGGAGAGAAGAGAGATGTGGAGCCTGGGAGGGGCAGAGACACAGCTGAAGTGTTAGCTGTTGGTAGCATGTAGACTTTCTCAGATGGCTGAGTCCTCAACAGAGGGGGAGAAAAGTGTCTGAAGAAGAAATTACAGAGATGCATAGAATTGGAATTCCAAAGGAGAGATAAGCACAGGATTCAGAGAGAAGAGGTAGATGCAGAGAGGAAATGAAGTCAAACAACACCAACTGGAGTCAGGAAGGACAGAAAACAGAGAGCAGTAAGAGGTCAGAGAAGAAGTGGGTGTGAGAATCCTGGGGAAATTTCATGCTGTGGGAGGCCTGTTTCAATATAAGATATGGGCAGGAATCATCCGTTCAGGGGCACCCCCTTAAATATATTTAGCTGATTCAAAATTTTTATGACGATAATACCTAAGGGTCAATAAGAAAAGTGTTACTTCACTGGGAGGCAGGAGTTAACATGCAGGGTTTGAAGGAAGATAGTCCATTAGCTTCTGGTTGTTCAAGGCATTTAATTGCTCCAAACTCATTCCCTCATCTGTAAAATGGGCTGGTGTGGGGGTGAGCCAGAACAGCATATGCCAGGGGACAGGTGACTGACTACCCAAAGACAGTCTTGAAAATCCAGATTAGAATGGCACATGCCAGTAATCCCAGCACTTGGGAGGTAGAAGCAGGAGGGTCAAGAGTTTAAGGGAGTTTGAGGCCAGCCTGAGCTTCATGAGACCCTATCTCCAAAAACTAAACCCAAACAAAAAGCAGATGAGAAAGTTCTCATGAGAATAAGGGACAAGAAAGAATATGATGGCAACAGAAGCCACATCAGGGTCCTGCCATGTTCTACAATTCTCTGTGCCTTTACTAATGAGGGTGGCAGGGTAGACAGAGGCTTTGCTCTGGATTTTGCAGCAGCCAATGCAGAAAGCTGGAATGGCATCTTACATCTTCAAGACAAGAATTAGAGTGACTGTTTGCAAAGATCATAGGCATGTCTGACAAAGACAAGGAGAGATGCCATCTCCAGAATCTTCCTGAGGATACGCACAGCCCAGTAACAATGTCCTAATAACATTGCCTGGTGAGGGCAGACGCCAGGCTTCTCTGTTGTGTCAGTGCTTCATAGTGTTAGACCATAGCACATACACAAAGTGTAATAAAGCTGGAAGCATTTCTGGTGGTGACCAAAACAAACCAGGCTTCAGTATGTGGCACTCCAGAGGTCAGGTGTCACCCACAGGCTGCCTGGAGAAACTCCAGGAGGGGTGCCTTCCAGGATCCCCTTAGCTTGACATAACTCGGTGCTTCGCCTCCAGATGCACGTCAGAACCCCTCCATCCCAAGTGAGAGTATTGGTTTGTTTGCTGTTTATTTTGAGACAAGGTTTCTAACCCAAGATGGCCTCAAACTCACTATATAGCCAAGGATGACCTTGAACTTCTAATCCTCCTGCCTCCACCTCCCTCCCAAGTGCTGGGATTTACAAGTATGCATCACCATACACATGCTGTGGATCAAACCCAGAGGTTTGCGAGGCAAGCACTCTGCCAACTGAACCACTTTCCCAGTCTCCCCCCCTTTTAAAATCAGAATTGAACAAGCCTCCAGGGAAGGCAGAAACAGTCCTATTTACTCATCAGATTGAATCTGGCAACCATCTTCTTTGACTTGGGAGTTTATCCTGGTTCTGAGGAACTGACCTTTTCCCTAATACAGCAGACTACCACAGCTTCCAGAAACCTCCAGGACAGAGAGCAGGGGGAGGGAGG